CAGTGTTCCATAGGGGATATTGGGGAAGTCAAGAAGACCCGATGCAAATTCTGCATCTAACATATAACTTGTGTGACTATGGGAAGTAACTTGAACTCTAGAATCCCAAGCAATTCTAATACAGTAAGTTACAGGTGAGTTGGAAAGAGTTGTGGTTTTTGTTGTTGTTTTGTTTTGTTTTAATCTCATTGGCTCCAAACACTTATGAAATCACTAGTGAGGATTAAAAACAAAGTTGAAGGGGACCTCAAATATCACTTTGCTTAACCCTTACCTCTAACATCGCTTACTAGCTACATAACAGGCAAGTTAATAACTAATAACTAATATTTACATTGCCTTTAAGATTTGCAAAGTTCTTCACAAACATTCTCTCATTTTATCTTCACAATGAACTGTGGGAGAAAGGTGTTATTATGATCCCCTTTTTACACATGAGGAAACTGAGGCAGAAAGAAGTTAAGTAATTTGCCTAAGGTCACACAGCTAGTTTGAGGCTGAATTTGAATTCAGATCATTGTGACTTCAAATTTAATAGCATGCTAACTACTTCACCACCTAGCTTTGGATTTGAAAGGGATCTTAGAGGGCACCTAATCTAAACCCCTAATTGTACATATGAGGAAACTGAGTCCCAGAAAGGTTAAATAGCTTGTCCAATATTACCTAATTACAGAGTTGGGATTCAAACCCACAGTCTCTGACTCCAAACCTTGATTCTATAATGCCTTCTAACCTCTCTGAACCTCGATTTCTTCATCTATAAAATGAGGAAAATGTTACCTGCCCTATTTGTTTCACAAAGGTGTTCCAGGGAGCAAATGTATATTTTTATATGTATGTGTGTGTGTGTGTGTGTGTGCGCGCGCGTGCATATGTGTATATATACACATACATATATACATATATACTTGTGCACTTCATAATGATATGAATTGAATTGCTGTCATTACTATTCTAAAAAGCACTGACTGGCTTAAGAGCCAAGGAAGTTGAGTTTAAATCTCACCTCTTTTTAATTCACAGTGTGGCCTTGGGCCAGTCCCTAATCCTCTCCAACCTCAGTATCTTTTTATGTTAAATGAGGTGGCTGGGCACAATAAACTCTAAGGCCTCTTCTAATATGAACAATCTGTAATTATACGATTCCATCAATATAAGCCAGTCAAGCCAATCACAGCTTTCCATGAGGCAATTCTTCCCTACTCAGCAGGGAGATGAAGAGTTTAACAACCCCTTGAATTTATATGTGCTGTTATTAGGAGTGTCTGCCCATCTGTTATCTCCTTTATTCCTACCACATCCCATCACAGAAGGGGCAGAAAATGTTATTCTTAATTTACAGTGAAAAAAATGAGCTTAAATTCTATCTGAGGGGAAAAACAAATATAATGACATTTTAAAAGCAATGGAGAAAAGAAAGGGAAGGGAAGGGAAGAGAAGATAAGAGCAGTACTGGGGGACAAAGATTAGAGGAAGAGTGAAAGAAAAAGAGAAGAAAACAAATTTTTTTGATTGATTAAATATGCTTTCTTAGGAGACTAAATTGGAATGACTTATGAAAGGAGAGAAGGAAGCAAAATAACAAATCATACACTTGAAGCACGTGTGTTTTCCAGGCTACAGTCATCAGCCCAAGTCTGACAGCATAAACCACAAAGTGAAAACTTCCAAGGTTGTAAATGCCTAAAAATGCATGCTCGCTGGCACTATGTTAACTGCTATTAGGAGCCCCAGCTCTAGGCCAAAGTAGATGTTATAATTTTTATCTCATCCTCAAATAAAACATAATTTCCAAGACCCATTCCTAAGTGAAACAAAACAAAACAAAACAAAAATCCAGACAGAGAATAAGCTTTCATTTCTCTGCCTTTCTCTCTGAGGATCTCTGTTTCCTTTTCTGAAAAATGAGATTGGACTAGGTGGCTTTTGTGTCAGGGACCCTTTTGGCAGTCTGGTGAAGAGTATTGGCCCCTTCTCAGAAAAGTGTTTTTAAAAGCATGAAATAATACGCACACGCGCGCGCGCACACACACACGCACACACACGCACATACATATACATACATACATGCATACATACATACATACATATACATACACACATATGTTTACAAAGGGAACCTGTTATCTGGAAATACAGTTATTAATTAAAAACAAAGATAGGTTTACTGTCCTCAGGGTAAGAACCCAGAAATCTGGACTAGATAATTTCAAAGGTTTCTTGCATTAATAACAATGATTTATGGATCTATGAATATACCTGTCTCTTTTCTGTCACTGTCTGTCTCTGTCTCTCTGTCTGACTCTTCCCTTCCACCCTCCCTCCACCATCTTTTCTTTTTGTCTTTCTCATTCTCTGCCTCCTTCCTCTTTCTCCCTTCCCCATCTTTCTTTTTGTCTGTTTTCTCTCTCACTCTCTGCTTCCCTCCTTCTCTCTTTCTTTCTCCCTCTCCTCCCCATCTCTTTCACCTGCATCTCTTTTTCTGCGCTCCCTCCAATCTCTCTTGGTACATGTACATATAAAAATACATGCACAGACATATATCCATAGCATCCTGCTGGATAAATTTTCATTACTGAAGTCACAGTGTTGCAATAAAAACCTTTTAATGAGTTACAAAAATAGCTTTCATCTTTGTAAACCAAAGTCTGGGATTAGGAGTCATCTCTCATTACTGATGCTTCTTCCTGGGGCTATGCATTTGGAAATTTTGCTTCTTTCACAGGAAATGGCTTTTCAACAAGCCAGTAAACAAGCAGCTTAAGCAAGCTCTTTCTTGATCTGCCTATCTTTCCAGGCCCTTCTGCCCAGAGGAGCACTCCTCCTTCCAAATCCCACCTGCCCTCCTAATCCACCTCTCATGTTTTTAATCTCACGGAATCAACTCATTCTGCTTCCTTCTTGTATTATTTTAGACACAAGGATAGAAGGAAAATAATAATAACTTCACTGAATTGAAGATATTTACTGTCCCAAAGGCTGCTGCTCCTCCTACAGCATCCTTATAAGGATGTTCTATGACCACCACTCATTGACCCCATGATCTCAGTAGCCTCACAATCGGACCCACTGGGCAATGGAAAGCTGCAAATTTGGGGAGGTTGGCTCATTCTGTAACAAGAGTGAGCAACAACATTTGGGCAGGCGGAGCATTGCAGTAGTATCTAAAATATGAGAAATGAAGCAGACAAGGAGACAATAAATGCATGATAATTTACATAGGTGAAGGGAATATCCACTCTTGTAAGATCAAAGATCCACTGAAATAATTCACTTAAACTTCTTAGGATTCAGTTTACTCATCTGTAAAAGGAGGGGGTTAGATGATCTCTAGGATTCCTTCAGCTCCAAACCTACGATCCTAAAAACAATAATAATAATAATATCATCATCATCATCATCTTACATTTGTATAGCACCGAAGGAGATAAACACAAGTCTGACAATGTCTCACACACACACACACACACACACACACACACACACACACACACACACATTAAACTCCAGTGGCTTCCTATCACCTCCAGTATTAAATACAAAATTTTCTGTTTGTCCTTTAAAGTTCTTCACAAACTAGCCCCCTCAGTCTTCATCGAGCTTACTCCCCATTATGTACTCTTCAGTTCAGTGACACTTTTCTCCTAGCTGTTCCATGAACAAGACACTCCATCTCTTGGCTCTGGGGATTTTCTCTGACTGAACGCCGTGCCAGGAACGCTCTCCCATTTCCGCTCTCCCCACTGGCTTCTTTCAAATTTCAACTAAAATCTCATTTTCTATAAGAAGCCTTTCCCAATCCTTCTCAATTCTAGTGCCTTTCCCTCTTTTGATTATTTCCTATTTATCCTGTATGTAGATCATATACACACATACATACATACATACATACATATACATATATATATATATATATATATATATGTACATATTTGTTTGCTTGTTGTTTCCTACATTAGATTGTGAGCTTCTTGAAGGGAAGGACAGTCTTTTGCTTCTTTTTGTAAGCCTGACACTCACTTAACACATTGCCTGGCACACAGTAGGCACTTACTAAATATTCATATTGATTGATAAGCCGAGTCATTCAAGCACCTCAATTATATAAACATATAAATGTCTGTGTATCATATATATGCACATATATATGTATACATACATACATATATGCAAACATATCAGTTCTGATTTTATCAATGGAATGACATTAAGGAAGGTGCATTCTGATCTACTTTGTGGTTATGCCCTAAGGACCAGTGAGTCTTTTCAGTTGACTTACAGCTCCCCTCAGAGTGAACAAATGATTTGATCAAATATACATAAGTTAATAAAGCTAAGATTCAGCTCCATAGTCATAATTAGGGTAGGGCAACCAGAGTTTTGCCCTCCAGAGTGGCAACATCTAGGTATGGAGGCACAGGATTTTCTTCTGCCATGTGTACTGCATCACACCCAGGTCCTATTTTATTTCTGGATCCTATTTCATAGCCCTCCTATTCCTCCTGAGGTTCAGGGGATCAGAATCCTTTGGCTGTGCTATGGAAGCACAAGTTAGATTCTCTTGGGAATGGGCTACCATAGCATGATTATGCCCATAATATTCTCTTTGCTACTTCTCCCCTTTCCCAAGTGAATTTGCCTCAGGCACACAAATTCCTAATTATAGCTCTCCCAATAGGTCATTTGCTACTACAGTTCCAGATTCAGGCATTGTAGACAATAACTCAGCCATTCAATTCAACAAACATTTCTGGAGCACCAACCATGGATAAGGCATTGTGTTGGGCAATGTGGACCTAACAGTAAAACATAACATGACCCTTGCCCTAAAGGTGCTTATAGTGCAGTGGAAAGGATGTGATAGGCACAATTAAGTATGAGACCAGTGGTTGAATTGAAGTAGACATCATTAGAGTCAAATGAAAGATCCAGACCAAGTGCTTTAGGAAATTTGGACAAAAGAGAGATCTTTATTAGTAAGTTGCCTAACAGGCTGGAAGTGGCAGAACCAGGTGTCAAAACCAAGTCCTCTGACTCCAAATCCATTGCTCTTTCTTCAACACCCACATTCAAGTCTTAAACAAAAATCAAGGTGAGCCTGAGTAGAAACCAAAATGGTGACCATAAGGTAAATCAAGACTGGTCCAAGAAGGCAACTCAAGAATCCAGGATTATTCTGGTCTAGGTGTAATTTAATTATACTCCAGACCCCTCAGAAGCAAGTACTCTTTAGATGTTCAGTTTCAGAACCACTTTTGTGGAGGATCCCAAGGTAACGTGTATTCTGTGTGCTTGGCCCTTTGTTAGCTCTCCTACCATATCAAGGAGGGCTAAGTGATAGACCAGGTAGTTGATAGGTGTGAATCAAGCCACTCATGTCTAGACACAATAACTTAATTGGTAAGAGCACTGTATTGAAGCCAGGGAACTCAGTTTGGCCCTCCAATAAGCCAGTTAATTTTCATCTGATCCATAGCCACAAACTGTAATACCCTTAATTACAGCCAACCATCTTGAATATGTATCCACAAGGGAATTGTGAGAAAAGAAAACAGATGGAAAAGGGGAAAAAAAACAACTCAGGGCACATAACAATAACTCACATTTCCATATAATACCTGAAGGGATTTTTGTTTGTTTTTTTAGATAAAAGTGTTTGCCTTACAATAAGTTTGTGAGGTGAACAGTGCAAATATTCCCATCTCCACTTTACAGGTGAGGAAACTGAGGCTCAGTGATTATGCCCAACATCATAAGTAAATATTAAAACCAGATCTCCTCTAAGGTCAGTGTTCTAGGATTTTACAGTACCATTATTGCCATATACCAAGGATAGCATAATGTTATTTACTTAGTTATCTCCTCATAGATCCAGAGGTTACTTTTTCAGCAACCTCAACTATTTGGAACACAGCCAAAGGCTCGAAAAGAAGCAAAGAAAAACAAAACAAAAAACTTCTGAGCAGCCAAAACAGATGTGGAAAAGCTTATTCTGATAGTCATCAAAGAGTATCATCCTTGGCATTCACTTGCACCCTATTAAACTTTTGCTTTAGACAAAACTGATGATCTGACATGATCCGGTCTTCCAGGTCACACTAGTTGAGAGTCAGCAAATCAGCAGCAATTGGGAAGATGCTAGAACTTGGTACATTGACAATAACAAGAAGGGACAGGTGACACGTTCACTGGAAAGGAGGAAACAGGACAATCGTAAAAGGCTAAGAAATGGACTCCCAAACTACAGTAGCTTGGGATCATCCAACGTAAGGGCAAACAGCTTGATACATAGCAACAGTCCGTGAGAATGCTCATCTTTGCATGAGGGTACAGTACAACGATGGATGTCCATAAGTATGACCCTTAACACTCAAGGAGAATTTAAATTATGTTTAATGCATATTGTTTAAGAAAGCAGAAAATTGCCTCCTCTACAGTGATTAAAGGAACAGAGAAGCTTTGGAATTAAGTTGTCCGCTTCAGTTATATGGAAGACTCGGCAGCATTTTCCTTGACGATGAAGCACAAACGAGGCGTCAGGTGCCGCTGAATTAACATTACATAGGTGTGCTAGAAGACCGAGATATGCAGACGTGGCCTCTTCCCTCCAGGAGCTTATAATCTAAAATAGGTTCCAAGAACTCCCCCAGTAGAATGTAAGCTCCTCGAGGGCAGGGACTGTTTCACTTTGGTCTTCGATCATCAGGGTTCAGTGGATTTGAATCTTGTCTCTGCCACTTAGTGCCTGTATCACCTTGGACAAGTCATTCAACCTCTTTAGGCCCCAGATTTCTCATCTGTAAAATGACAGGTTTGGATTAGACAGCCTCTAAAGTTCCTTCCAATTATATGTAAATTTATGAGCCAATTCCCAGCATCTGGCACAGAATAGGCACTCAGTAAATATATTTTAGTTGAATTGAATGTCAGGAATCAGCAGTATTATGGGGAGAAGAAAAAAAAAGAGTCTGAAAAGAGTCAGGATACCTGAGTTCCAGCCATGACCACTTATTACTCTATGTGATCCTGAGTAAGCCAACTTGCTGGCCTTCAGTTTTGCCATATAAGACCTCAGCAACTGTTTCCAGCATGGGCATTCGATGAACCAATATCCTCCCCCTTCTAAGTGATCCATTCTTGGCATTATTCCTTTTTAAAAAATTCCCAAGTGGGGTTAAGGGTGAGAGCCTTCCCAAAGGAAAAAAAAAATTCTTGAGAGAGAAGGTCGTCGGAACGAAAGGAAAGAGATTCACAGCCAATAGAATCCTGATAAGATACAAGGTAAGAAAAAAATAGAAGCAGGATATTGGATCTCTGTATTATAGTGGAAAGAGCATTGCCTCTGGAATCAGAAGGCCTTGGGTTTGTCTCTCCTCTGACACTCACCATCTGTGTGAGTTTAGGTCCCCCTGAGCCTTACTTTCCTCATCTGTAAACTGAAGGGGTTAGGTGCTAGATGGCCCCTGAGGCCTGTTCCAGCTTTAAGTCTTGGATTCTGTGATCTTATAAATCACTGGGCTAGAGAAAGATAAGGTTAGTAGCAGAAAACATCATTCCTTCCCAAGTGAGATAATGAATATAAAGAACACTGCAAACCACATGTAAAGCCATTATTAATCATTATCCAGTTTTCAAGACCTCATCCCAGTTCTGCCTTTTCCATGGAGTTCTCCATGACTACTCCAGTGCATGCTCACTCCTTCCTTTTTAAGTTCAATAAAGCATTCCTTGCCTGTATTTGGAGAAGGGGTAGAGCGAGGGAAAGCATTCAATCTGTAATTTAGACCCCGGGACTTGCCAGCTGTGTGTATGTCACTAAGCCACTGTTCCCTCATCTGAAAAAGGGAGATAATAATACTTGCATTGCCTTTCTCACAGGAGTTTTGGGAAGGAAGGAAGGGGGAGGGAGGAAGGGAAGAAGAGAAGGAAGGAGGAAAGAAAGGAAAAAAGGGGAAAGGGAGAGAAGGAAGGAGAAAAGGAAAAAGGGAAGAAAGGAAGGGGAGAAAGGACAGATGGAAAGAAGGAAGGAAAGGAGGGAAGGAAAGAAGGAAAGGAAAGATAATGGAGGAAGGGAAGAAAGGAAGGGAGGAAAGAGAAAAGGAAAGAATGAGGGAAGGAGGTTAGAAAACAAGTATTCATTAAGTTCCAACTTTGTGCCAGGCACTGTGCTAGGGGCTTTACAAATAGTCTCATTTAATCCTCACAACAACCTTAATGTTCTACAAAAATATGATGATTATTTTTATTGTTCTCCATTCCATGTATTTTGATCTATAGGAAGAGAAACTCAACATCTACCGCCATCTAGTCCTAAAACCTTGGGCAAATCTCTTTTTGGGACCTCAATTTTCACATCTGTAAAATGAGGTTGGCCTAGGTGACTACAGACCCTTCCCAGGTCCACATCTGAGTGTTTCTTGCATTTCCCACAGTTCTTCACAGGAAACTATGCACACAGAGAGAGCTTGCAGTGGATGTCAATTAGTCGTTTATTGGCACAAAAAACTTTATGTCTCATGTTATGTGGCCCTATCTCAAAAGAATTCCCTTTTAAAACTAATATCTTCCAACTTGGATCAACCCTCAACAGGAAGCACAATCAATACCCTGTCCTGCATGGAGCTGCTTATTATCTCTTACATAGGAAGAAAGGAGTGAAACGTATATAACCATTAAGAATGTTGATCCCCAACACCTCTATAGCAGTGTTTCAGGTCAAACTCATTGTGTGTCTAGGTACACGATAATCAATTACAGGTGGATCCTGTGGAAGCTTATATTCCTTCTTCAGAAATAAACTTGCTCTCCAGGATGCTTTTAAATTCCCAGTTACATCAAATAGTAGCAAATTCTTATGCAGTGTACAGTACTGGAAGGAGCATTGGATTTGGAGTCAGAGGACTTGCTTTCAAATCTTGGCTTTGCCACTTACTAGCCAGTTGACATTTCATCTCTCTGGGTCTCTTGCCTCTTCTGGAAAATACAGGGGCTGGACTAGATAACCACTGAGAGCTATCAAACCAGTGAAAGTGGGGTCCAAGGGAAACATCTTTTGGGACTGACCTTCAAATCACAGCATCAGTGCTAACAATTTGGCCAAAGTAATGATGTCATCAACTCATTTTTGAAGTGGAAAGCCCCAGATTAATAATAACAACTGTTCACATTTCTATGTTTGGTGTTCATGAAAGTGTTGTGCACTGGGAATCTCATCTGATCTTCACGATAACCCCATGAAGTAGGTAGTGAAGGTATTATCACAATTTTACATATTAGGAAACTGAGGCTCAGATGCTAAATAGTAGTAATAAGAACTAGTCGAGTATTGGTTCCAACATTTCCTTCAAAGAGTTGAAGCATCTGTTCTGTTTGGTCTGACCATATCTAGAGTTTTTAGTTCAATTCTGGGCATGACATTTTTGTAAAGAGATTGAAAATCTTGAAAGTTGGGGAATCAATGATAGCAAATGGTCCAAGATTCTTATCATTTGAAAACTGGTTGAAGTAAATGGAGGCTGTAAGCCTGAAAAAGAGAAAAGGTAGCATGGAGGACATGACAGCTGTCTCAAAGTCTTTGAAGAGCTGCTATGTGCAAGAGGGAATAGATTTGTCCTGCTTGGCCCTACAGGCTAGAACTCTAATCAGTGGGTGGAAGTTGCAAAGAGGTAAATTTAAGCTTGATATGAAGAAAACATTTCTTAATAATCAAAGTATCCAGGGCACTTAGGTGGCACGATGGATAGAGCTCTAGCTTTGGAGTCAGGAATACCTGAGTTCAAATCTGGCCTCAGACAATTGGCACTTACAGTGGCGCAGTGGATAGATCAACAGCCCTGGATTCAGGAGGACCTGAGTTCAAATTTGGCCTCAGATACATAACACTCACTAGCTGTGTGACTCTGGGCAAATCACTTAACCCCAACTGCCTCACCAAAAACAAAGAAAAAACAAAACAAACTGTGTGACCCTGAGCAAGTCACTTAACCCTGATTGCCTCACAAATAATAATAATAATAATAATAATAATAATAATAATAATAATAATAACAATCAGAGTATCCAAAAGTGAAATGGGTGGTTTCAGTGGGTGAATGGTTCTCTCTTAGTTGAGTTACTTAAGCAAAGAGTGGAGGACTACTTGTCAGGTGCATTGTAGAAAAGATCCCTGTTCAGGTTTGGATTATACTAAGTAGCTTCTAAGGTCACTTTCAATTCTACAATTCTGTTATTCTTAGTAACTGTATGATCTTGCCCAAGTTTACTTCACTTTTTTGAGCCTCGGTTTCTCCATCTGTAAAATGAAGGGATTAGAATAGATGATCTCCAAAACCCTAAGATTACATGAAATTGAATATAAAATACCACCCAAAGAGGCTTTGAACTACAGGGCAGCCATTCAAACAGAAGGAAGAAAAAAGAACAGTCCCTTCTCTTTCACCTAGTAGCCCAAGTTGTCATGTGCTTGGGTGGTTTAAGAACAAACTTTGCCTGAGACATTGGGATGGCCCCAATGACCACTGTGGGCTCTAAGATTGGGCAACTTCCAAGTGAAGCATTATTTTTTTTTTTAGTTTTAAAGAGAACAAAAGAAATGTTGTGACTAGGATGGGAACATCTTTCTAATTTTTTTCTATTTCTCTATTCTCTTTCCTACGTCACTGAGAACTGAATCCATTATTTTTCTGCAGTAGTCATTGGCTCTTGGAGAGCAAGATGGGGGAAGCTGGCATCATCTCTAACCATGTCTCCTTTCATCTTTCCCAATCTAGTGTTGACAGAGTTGCATCCATGGAATAAGAAACCAAAGGCCAAACAGGAGGCTGAAGGATCAACATTAATCAAATGTTTCCATTGTTCTGATATTTCAGTGAATCTGGGTCCTTGCATGTCCTCAAATTGGGCAGATCACAGCCTATTCATGTACTTTCATCTAGTGCAATTGTTTCCATGTCTTCCAATGAATCTTCCATAGGAGGTCATTCAATGTTCTTGGCATCATTTTCAGTTTTTCATTTGTTTATTTCTACCAGAGCATCAGAGGGGCTATCTATTTGCTATCCCTATCTACTCTCACAGCACATGACTAGCCCACCTCTCTTTTAAGTCATTAATCCTTTCATGAGATCTTTCAATCCTTTATTGAATTTAAATCATTGTTGGCAATAAGTTAAAGCATATTTAGGCCTGTCATACATCTTTTCATTGCACTTTGGATCATCCACAAATTTAATTATCAGCTATCTCCCCATTTAGAGACATAGCAATATGGATTCTATTGGTGAAAAGTATGGTCATTTCTATGGCCTGGAAGCTTCAACACTGTGCCAGTAATGTCTGAAACTAGACAACAATCACCCATGCAGATATTCAGCTTTTCTTCCTATCACCACCACCCCCAGCCCACCCTCCTGCCAATATTGGCATGGAGGCAAAATTCTAATCGCTCCATTTTTGGCATGAAACCCAGTCTGTACTTCTCTTAGCATTTGACAATGATGAAAGGACCAGCTGTTGGCTTGGCTTAGCATATACTCTGTGAGTCCTGACCAAAGAAGCAGGCCCAGAGAAATCCACAATCTCATGCCATGAGCCGCCTAAATAGCCCTTGGTCAAGAACCTGGTCTCCTTAGAGATTATGCATAGGAATAGTGAGGGAAATCATCAATGGCACTATAAGCTGATTTCATCTTTTAAAAAATAAGCAACCACACACAAAAAACCTCCCTATGTAGCTTGGATAGACAATAATAACAATAATAGCTTGAATTGATATAGCATCTACTATGTGCCAGGCAGTGAGCTAGGCACCTTATGAAAATTATCTAATTTGATCTTCACAACAACCCTGGAGGTAAATGCTATTATTATCCCCATTTTACATTTGAAGAAACTGAGGCAAACAGAGGTTAAGATCACACAAGTGGCTAAGGCCATGTCAGATTTGAACTCATATTTTCCTGAATCCTGGCCCTGTTCTCTGTCCACTGCACAACCTAACTGCAACTGATCATTGAGTTCTCTGGGTTTGTTTGCAAAATCACCTCTGAGATGACAATTTCTTCTCCTAGAGCAGTGAGGATTATGATCCTGATGTAGAAAGGTGCTAGGCAGAGTAATTCCTTAACAGGATGTAGTGTCTTAAAGAAGAAACTGAACTATTGTCGGGGAGACTTAGGCATGCTTGAGCTAAGCACTTTACTCCTCAAGGCCTCAGTTTGCTCTTCTGAAAAATGGTAATAATAAAACTTCCCACTACAAGATTTTCTGGAGTATCATATGAAAGTGTGTGTGTTCAGGGTTTGATAAGGTCAAAAATGGTGATGATGATGGTGATGATGGTAATAATAACTATATTAATAATAAACAACAATTACAATGATGATGAAAATAATAAATAGCTAGAATTTAGCACTGGGCCTGGAGAGAGAAGACCTAAGTTCAAATCTGGCCTCTGATACTTATTAGCCGAGAGACCCTAGGTAAGTCACTTAAACCTCTCTTTGTCTCACTTTCCTCATCTTTTAAATGAGGATAATAATAACACCCATCTTCCAAGATTGTTGTGGGGTTCAAGTGAGATAATACTTGTTAAATGTTTAGCACACTGCCTGGCTTATGGTAAATGTTAAATATTATTATAAGTAGTAGTAGATTTGCAAAGCACTTTACAACTATCTCTTTGTATCCTCACAAAAATCCTGAAAGGTATTATTCTCTTTTGCAGTTGAGGAAACTGAGGCAGACAGAGAGAGGTTAAGTGACTTTCCCAGGGGTGTACAGCTAATACATATCCAGGTCTTTTAGACTCCAGGCCCAGTGCTATATCCACTGCATCACCTACTCTATCATTTATTTTTCTATATGGTTTCAGGCAAATCAAGCAACTTCTTTGTGCCTCCAATGAAAGCCTGGGTAGAAAGATACAACTCCTTTGATTTCCCCACTCCACATAAACAACTTAGAAGGACCAAAACAAAACTATCTTAGCAATTAAAGTTAGACAAAATACTTAATAATGGATTTTGGGGTATGGCCCTTAGCAGGTTACCAGCCAGGGCTGAATAACTTAATACATTATTTGTCACCAAATTCCCCGACTCATTCCTAGCCATGGTTCTTCATTTTGAGAAACGATTTCATGGCAGAGATAATTTCAAACAAAGAAATCCTCCAAATGAGACCTCCAGGCCTCCACATTTTGTGCTGGCTTCCATTGGTTCCACTGAGCCCCACAGACAGGAAGATCTCTTCTCCAATCTTCAAATGGAGATGTAACTCTCAGCTTCTTGTTTTAGTATTGTTGTTATCGTCATTGTTGTTGTTGTTTTTGGTTTGTTTTTGTTTTCAGAATATCCCTCTTCCTGGCTGTTCAGAGCCAGATATAACCAGAACTTAGTGCATAAAGCTGCATCCCATTCCCACTCCCAGGGAGGCAGTCTGTTCCCAAACACCATGTCTGACACATTGAAGCTGCTATGGATTTGGGTTCACTAATTAGCAGGGGGGTTGTTTGAGCAATGCCTTGGCATGGCAGACACGTCTGACTTCAGCACTCTAAAAGATGCTTGCTATTCCCTGCAAACATTACTTTTGAAGACACTAAGAAAACAGTGAGTGCAGCCCCTTGCACTGATATATCACTCTAATAAATTATAGTAATCAATAAAATGTTTTTAAAAAAACCTTGTAGAAGTATGCAACAATGGAATATTGGTTATTATATTAGGATTGTGATTTTTGTCATTGGAGGTATTTAAGCAGAGGCTGAAAAACTTGATTGCAAGAGATAACAGAGAAAATTCACAGGATCACTGATCTCAAAGCTGCAAGGACCTAAGGGAACTCTAGCCCAATGTATGACTGAACAGGAATCCCTCCTGCAATGTCCATAAGAAGTGGACATTCAGTCTTCATTTTAAGAGTGGAAGTTCAAACTGGATGACCTCTCAACCTCTAAGCTCCTAACTAAAGCCCAGAGAGATTTGTCCAAAGTCACATAACTAGTGAGTAGAAGAAATGAGAGTCAAGCCCAGGTCTTCAGGGTCCAAGTAGAGTGCTCTTCCAATGTCTAATTCTGGGATTTCAGTATTTTACTGCTGACATCCTTTCACATTTTTGTCTGCTTGCTCTATTTAACCTCTCCCAAAAGTCTGTGGATTAAGAGACGGGTTATCACTATCTCCATTTCATAAAGAAAACAACTAAGATTTGGAGGGAGCTAAATGGCCCAGCAGATTGAGCTCTGAGGTCTGCAGCCAGGAAGACCTTAGTTCAAATACCACCTCAGACATTTACTTGCTATGGGACCCCAGGAAAGTCACTTAACCTCTGTTTGCCCGAGTTTCCTCAACTATAAAATGGGGATAATAATAGCACCTACCTTGCAGGGTTGTTGTGAGGATCAAATTAAATAATATTTGCAAAACACTTAGTATAGTCCTTGGCACATAGTAGGTATTTCATAAATTCATGTTTTCTTCCTTGCAGAGTTTTGGGACCTCCAGTTCTTATTGACACACTATGTCACCAAGCATAAAGATAACTCCAATTTCATTTTCAGGTTTGTCTGGAGAAGGGTTTGAAGAGGATAGGGGATAGGGCAGGTAGAAAAGAAGGAGCTAGTTAATCCTGTTATTTTTAACCTTTAAACACTGACTAAGCACTTAACCCTCCACCATTTGGGGCTTTAAAGAAGGAGATAATTGAGAAGAGCTGTGGATATAAAAGATGATAGTAAGAGAGTCAGGTAGATGAGAAGAGCACTTTGGTTAACTGTGTCCAAATTCCCAATCCACTTTAATTTGGTTGGTTTTTTTTTTAATTTGGTTTTATCCAGAGGCATTTATTACCTACCTCATTAATTTAAAAAAAAAACTTCAAAGGATAATTGTGAAAATTAGTGTTGAGAAAAATCTATCATCATCATCATCATTTTGATAGTACATTGAAGTTTGCAAAGCACTCTACATATATATATATATATATATACATATATATATATATATATAAAATTATCAACTCACATATTTACTTTATCATTTCTGTCAAATCCTTTTGAAAATTATCTCTACGTGCATCAAAGGTATCCTCAGTGAAAATATGATCAGGGAATAGACAGGCATTTGCAAGCAATATTACTCAGCAAACCATATCTTTATAGCCACATACTTGACTAGAGGATGCAGAGAATACCTTCTCTTATTTGTGGTTTGTTGATCATAAGAGGAACAGTTGACTTGGTAGAGCAAAACTTAGCCTTAAAGGTTTTCCTCCAACAAACAGTATCTAACCCTTTGACATGCTGTCCAAAAGTTGAGTGAAAACTGCAGACAACAATGAGTTTTCCCTCAGTAGAAAGCTTCAAACACATGTTGATAGCCACTTGTCTGAAATGCTGTAGTATTCTTTTTTAGGCATGAACTTGGCTAGATGTCCGGGAAGGTGCTTCAGATTCCAATTATATGATTCCATGAAGAGTCCTTGAGAAATGCAATCATTAGCATAACTACCCAATGGCCCCCTGACTATCATTAGGTGAGGTTTAAAAAAAGAAAAATGTTCATTAACCAAAGGAGGTCATCAGTGACAGCTGGAATGCCTTGCTCAAGGTTTAAATGCAACAGGGATTTTCAGTAGATACTGAGTTCTTTTCAGATGTTCTTTTGTGCATAATAATGTGGTTCTTGCACCAGGTCCCAGGACATAATAAGGTCTCCTTGGTAAAAGCCATACTTATTCAAAGGAAATCAGATGAACAATCAATACAGGAAAAATCAAACGGTTGAAAAATAGCTATTGTTCAGATTATGACATGAAATTAAATGTCCAGTCCATTGAATTAGTACTGCAGTGACTATACATACATACATATATATATATGTGTGTGTGTGTATACATACATACATGTATATATATGTATATATGTGTGTGTATATATATATATATATATATATATATATATATATATATATAGAGAGAGAGAGAGAGAGAGAGAGAGAGAGAGAGAGAGAGAGAGAGAGAGAGAAATGGAAAGTTAGAGAAACAGAGAGATGTAGATATAGATATGGGACAGATGTATTTGTGGATGAAGGGCTAGGCCCAGAATGGAACACGAGGAAGGGAGCAGAATAGGTTCTATCTGGGAAACTTTACAGAATTTTTAATGATAGTAATGTGTTCCCCAATGTAAGTACCTACCTTTTAAATGCCTGTCCTCCCAGTGATGCTCAAAGGGTGCAAAGCATGAAACATCATGGTCTCTGAGGAATAAAGGTTGCAGGTCACCCAAAAAACAATGAAGAGTTAAACAACATGAACAAGTAAGCAGAAACCTACGTCCACTAATGGGCTATGCTTGAGAAGTAACCTAAAGCATACCATTGAGGAAATGGATGATAGATAAAAGAAGTAGGCTAATCATATAGGATTCCATTCTAAGGGACCATAGCTATCCAAGTACATAGAGAATGTATATGGTTGGGGTGGGACAGAGATAGAAGGAAAGGAGAGAGGGATGGAGAAAGAGAGGAAGAAAAAAGGGAGGAAAAAAGAGAGAAAGAGAGGAAAGAAGGAAGGAAGGAAGGAAGGAAGGAAGGAAGGAAGGAAGGAAGGAAGGAAGGAAGGAAGGAAGGAAGGAAGGAAAGAATCCAGTTGAATTATTAGAGGCTATGAGGAAGAAAATTCCGCAAGACCAAGAACTAACAATGGATTTTATCACGTTGTTGAATACCAAGGCATTTTAAGCATTTATTACCATTTCTCTACTCATAACCAAGTGGATCCATTAATTACAGGAGCTTAAAGAAGAGGAAAATATAAGAGAACAGGAGCCTAGAGGCCTCAGTTCTAATCTTCATTCTGTCCCTATTTAACTATGGTACCTCTAGTACATCACTTATGCCACCTGGGACTCAGTTTCTTCATGAATAAAATATGGAGGTTGGAGAATACTAGAAACATAGTGAAGTAAGAGGTACTTAAGAGCTCAGTTCTCCCCCTACCACCTCAAACAAGTAAAAAGACCATTTCTCCAATCAGAAAAATCAGCAATGACAGGAAAAAGAAAATTCAAAGAACCTATGATGAAAACAAATAATAATAGCCAGCATTTATATAGTTCTTTACAGTTTTCAAAGTGCCTTACAAATTTTATCTTCATTATTGTGGGAGGTAAATGCTAGTATTAAACCTATTTTACAGATAAGGAAACCAAGGCAAACAGGAATAAATGATTTGTCCAGGGTCACAGAGTTAGTATCTGACACAGGATTTGAACTCCTGACTCCAGATTCAGTACTCCAGCCATTGTGGCAAGGGAACAGAAAGGGAAGGGGAAGAAAGGGAAGGGGGAAGAGGAAAGAAGGGGAAAAAGGGGGAAGAGGGAAGAGGAAGGGGAAGGGGAGGAAGGGGAAGGGAAAAAGGAAATGGGAACAGAAAGAGAAAGGAAAGGAAAGAAGAGGATCTTAGGAAATTAGAAAAGTCTAATACCAGGGAAAGGAAAGTGACTTTGGCAGGCAGCACACTCTCACCTTCGTCTGGAGCTTCCTGCCTGGTCAAATCCGCAGGCCTCCTCACCTGCACCAGGAGCCAAATTCTACCCCATCCCACTTTTGATAAAGAGGTAACTCCAAAAGTCTAAAACTAAGCATCTAAAACTGCCACCAAGTTCCCAGAGGCACCATGGTAGAGGGAAGTGTTAGGAGTGGGAGCAGTGAAAGGGTTGGTACTAATAACGTACATTTAACCTCACTATCACCAGACTGGCCCCCATGTTCCCAGGGTTGATGGTTACATGGTTCAGTTCCCTCAAGTTAAGTTTCATTAATATGCAACTTTAAAAGGAAGGGTGATGGAAAGAAGGAAACAAGCATTTATTAAGTACCTACTATGTGCCAGGCAAAATGCTAAGCACTTTACAAATATTATTTCATTTCGTCCTCACAATAACCCTGGGATACAGATGCTGTTATTATCCTCATTTTACAATTGAGGAAACAGGTAAGTAACTTGCCCAGGGTCATACAACCTAGTAAGTGTCTGAGGCTAGATTTGAACTCAGTTCTTTCTGACTCCAAGTCTAGCAATCTAGCCCACCTAGTTGTCTCTAGTTATTATTAAGCTCAAAAATCTTCAGTTGCTCCCTAATGACTCCCTATTAAAATTAAAATTCTTTAGCTTGGCATTTGAGGCCCTCCATAATCAAGTTTCACTCTGCCATTCCAGCTTTACCTTTTATTAATCTCTGTGCACTCTTCATAGGGCCAAAATGGACAACTATGTATTCTATACACATGCTCTGTGCTTTTTGTTTATGCTATTCCTTAATGCCTGGGATCTCTTCAATCTCCCTTTTAAAATTATATATTTCTAAAGTGTTTTACCAAGTTTACATAAACACTAGCTGTTATAATAGCATCATCATCATCATCATCATCATCATCATCATCATCATCATCATCACTATTTTCATCTTTCAAATTCTGACCCATCCTTTAAAGCTCAACCCAAATACCACCTCCTTCATGAAGCCTGGCCTCATCTTGCAATCATTAATGATCTTTCCCTTCTTCTGGCCCAGTCAAACATTTTACCTTGTCTCCTTTCTAACACATTTATCACATAACATTGTATATCGTAGTTATCTGCATATATGACTATCTCCACCAAAGCCCTCCTTGGATGCCTTCAATAGCAAGTGACCCAGGGCTATGTCAGTGTAGTCCAAGGTCTGTCAATTTTTACCAAGTTGGAAAGGATGTGCTTGATGAGAGATTGTCTTTCTGTTTTCTGAGTAATGGCCTAGCTCATTTCAGAGAGGCAAAAGAATGAATGGAAAACAATTCAAATCACAATAACTCACCAAAACCAGAAATGGGTTACAATCTACACCTATGAAGGCAACACTTTCCCTAATAAAATGATAGTTCCTAAAAGGATTGGAATATTGGAATAATTTGCTCATACCTTATTTCACCTGTTAGAGGATAAGGTCCAAGAAAGTAAGGACTGTGTCTTACCTAGATGTTCTCTTTCCCCAAGTCAAAGTACTGTGTTCTGTATGCAATAGGTGGTTAATAAGTATTTTTGAATGATCAGGCGTACAACTAATTTATTTCATGGTTGAAAATTAGCCTTTTTCATGAGCTAAAATTAATCTTTGTCATTCAGTGAACTACACATAAAGAAAATTAGTGTAATACTCAGCTTCCTTATCAACTCTTACTTAGCATTTCCCTCATCTGCATGTCCAGAGATATGCTGGTAAATGTTTAACAGCTGGTTCTCCAAAGTGGGCAAGAAACACTTTTGAGCTTAATCTGAATTATCAACATTTTCTCCATCACTTCCTTAAGTCTAGACAATAAACCAACACCCGATTTGTGGCATTTACCAATTTCTGAGGTGCAAATGAAAATTTAACAATGGACTTCAGCATGTCTCTACGTCACCCATCCTCCCCCCATATCTTATCAATTGCCAAGTTGTGTCTAGTCTACCTTCTCCACATTTCATGCATCTGCCTCCTCTTCACTTATACAGCCTCTACTCAAGTTCAGGCCTAGTGAACTATCCAAATAATTTCTGAATGAATCTCTCCAGGTCCAGTCTCTTCTCCAATCCATCCTCTTCACAGCTGCCAAAGTGATTCCCTTAAATACAGCTCTACCGATAATACTACCTCTCTGCTAAAAAAAAAAAATTCTCAGGGTTTCCCTTTGCCTCTAACAACAAGATAAAATGCAAAATCTTCAGCCTGGCATGTAAGCCTTCCCCAATTCAAGCCTTCCACCAGCTACTCAGTCTTAAATCACGTCACTCACCTTCATATACTTTGTATTCTAGTCATACTGGGCTGTTGGCTGCTGCTCATTCAGGACATCCCATTTCCTACCTCTGTGCTTTTGCATACACAGGTACTCATTCCTGGAATGCATTTTTTCCTTCCTTCTACCTCTAAGAATCCCTAGGTTTACCTACATGAGACCTTTCCTCACCTCCCCACTCACCCCAGTCAGTAGTGCAACTTACTTTGTCTAACTTTATGCACTTTGCATTGATTTATCTGAGTACATTTTGTACACCACCAGCACTATCACCCCAGAATGCATGCTCCTTGAGGACAGTGACTGTTTTTTTGGTTTGGGTTTGTTTTGGGGTTTTTTTGGTCTTAGTATTCCCAGGGCTCAGCATGGTATCTAGCATGTTTAATACACACTTATAACATTAAAATGAGCTATGTGAATTATTAAAAAAAAAAAAGAAAATCTCTTTTGGAGATTTCTTTCTTGAGTAAAGGTGGAATTACATATCACATTAGCTTAAGAAAGACTTGACTGTATTTTGTAAGAGCACATCACAGACTGAGTTACTCAGCCCAATGTCATTAACCCATAGAGAAAAAAAAGCCCCAGCATTGCAGTATGGATGCTCATACAGGAAAACTCCATTACAAAGCCTGGCTATGTTCTCCTATTATTATACATCCAGGCAAATCATGTTCTCCCAGAGCAAGAGTTCTTAACCTTTTTTTGTGTCATGGACCCCTTTTGGCAGGCTCAGTAAGGCTATGAACACCCCTTCTCAGAATAATAGGTTTAAATGCAATAAAATAAAACTCATAGTATTACAAAGGAAACATTATATTTATATGTAGATAATAAAACATGTATTTTTAAAACACAAATTTCCAGAACCCAGGTTAAGAACCCCTGAAACACAGTAATCACCTACACCACAGAATATCAGAGTGGGAAGAGATCCCAGAGATCAATCAGCTAGTCCAGGCCTCTCATTAATAGCACCTACCTCCCAGGGTGATTCTGAGGATAATATGAGATGTTATGTGTAAAGGGCTTTGAAAATCTTAACCCTATAGATGCTAGCAATTATTCTCATAATCGATATTCTGATGATGACTTTAATTTTGCATATGAAAGGTAAGGTGTCGAAGAGGAGCTAAGTGAGCTCCCCACGGTCACACAGTGAGCAGCTTGCCTGTCCCCTCCCCTAATAACCCAAGAAGTTCCCATGCCTTCACACCAATACTGGAACAAAGTCTTCTGCATCACCGAACCCTGGCAGGTTTCAGCCTTTCGCAGAGCCTTGGCCCTTTGTTCCAGGGGCTGTAAAGAAAAGCAGTCCAGCCCATTCCAAGACCAGGGACTAAACAGTTAAACAGTGGCAGCGCATTTCCAAGAGGGCCGCAGGAATTAAAATGATTCCCACTCCTAATTCTTCCCCCAATCCCATCATGCAAGCACCCGAAAATCCTCCAGCCTGTCTTCATTTCTGACCTGACAAATCCCACCTAAGCCCCCCCTTTTTCCTGCCCCCAGGCAGGTAAACATCCCTCTTCTCCCCATCCCCGGGCTTCCTTCTCTGCCTCGGTGTCATGTAGTCTGCAGAAGCACACGTGATGGGGGAATCCCATCTGTTCACCCATTTCCACCCCCTTCCCTGACAAATGAATTCATCCGCAGCCGTGTTTGCTGGATGAGGCCGTGAGCAGAAAAGGCAATTGATGAATTATGCATCCCCCCAGAGCTGGGCCCAGATCTGCAAAGGCCATTAGACCAGAAGGCTCTCGAGAACGGTGCGGGCGGAGGACTGACTGCATGCGGGGAATGTCTTCTGAGGGTAGGGGTGGGGTTGGGGGTGGGTGCAGGGGTGGACAAGGCTAGGCGTGCCTGTCTGGGAAGGGGCTCTTCCAGAGGAATCCCCCAACAGACCAGCCCCCTCCTCTTGCAACAGCTCACCTGGTCGGATTAAAAATTCTGGGCCCCACGCAGGCATCGGTTCAAGTGTTTATGAGCTATGGCCTTGTCAAATCCAGCTGCTACGTCAGAAGGTTTCTTTCTCCGGCAGCAAAGCCCTTGCGCTAAATCAATATTTTTGGCCGGCTGCACAGTTACGCACAGCTAAGGAGCTGACATGAAAGCGGCTAGGGGGCAGAAGGGGAGGGGGAGGTGGTGCTGTCCAACAAACAGCCCTGCCTATTTAATTATTCCTGGAGGAGAGCTCTGCAGAGAAAGGTCCTTTCTAGATGTGCAATAAATAAATAAATTAAATAACATCTGCAGAGGACCGCATAGTTTTTGAAAGCCATCATGTCTCACTTCTCATCTGCTTTTCACAGCAACCCTGAGCGGCAGGTAGGAAGTGAAAGTCTAATTGTCCTCATTTTACAGAGGAGGAAACTGAGGCTCGAAAAAATGAAAGAAATTACTTGACTGAAGACTCATGACTAGGGAATAGCAGACCTTCTTGGCTCATCTCTGCCTGAGAAGGTTCTTTGTATCAAGATGTACCTTTATTAGAGCTCATTCCTTCACGTTTCTAGATTTCAATATGATAACAGGGAAAAGTGGGAGGAGTTATTAGACAATGAACGTAGAAATAATAACTCTGCCACTTAACTAGCTTCAAGACTTTGGTGAAGACAGGAACTCATTACCTTAGTTTCTGCACCTGTAAAATGGGGATATTACTAGCCACTTTAGAAGCTTCTCCTGCACGGTGTAAGGAGATAATATATGGTGTACAGTTAGTTAATCAATCTCCAAGCATTTAAGTGCGAATTTAAGTGCCAAAGCCCTGTGCTATTTACAGAGTGGTAAAATGACTATTCCAAGGTAGTATTTTGTAGAAGCAGTACTCAAACTGAGGCCTGCTGATTCTAAATCTAAAAGTTTTTTTTCCCA